AGCGACCTTTAACCGTGCGGCACGGTTCTTTTTCGTCTGATTAGAAAATTTAGCACAATGCTTACAAGTATCCGCTCTGTGTGACTCGCCTAAGCAGAACAAACAAAGTTCATGGCCATCTGGAGGGGCCAATTTACTTCCACACTTCTTACAGCGGTTGAAAAAGCCCCACTTCCGACTCCTCTTCTTTTTCTTTTCCATACGGTGGGAAGAGACGAATGCCGGGGAAAAGTGAAGAGGGAAGGGGGGGGGGAGGCCCGAAGGCCTGAGGAGATTCCCCTCAGAAAAACAAAAGTTCTCGTTTTTCTTCTTCTTCTTCTTTTTTTTTTTAAATAAACTGAAGTAGAGAAAATAAAATAGAGGATGATCCTAAGAAACAAGAAATAAGGTAAAGGCCCGAAGGCAGTAACAGCTATCCGGTCAGGAGGAAAGGCAAGAAGGTCCTTTCAACGCGGCGGTAGAGAGAGAACTGGCGGGATCTCCGCGCCCGTCCCTCTGGGCATGCGTGCCGGGGTTCCTGCGCATGCTCAGTGGGACCCGCGCGAAAATCCTTTGAAACATAGCTTGCTACAGCACCGGTCGGGTCAGCGCAGGCGCACTAAACCCATTGGTGTGAAGCACAGAGACCACGAAGAAGATTATAGTGAATCCAAGCAATTATTACAAACAGAATACCCACCCACATGCAAAAACAAAACTGAAACCTTTTTTTTCTTGTGAGAATAGCACCTCCTAAAGGAAGAAATGCATCTTGTTCTTGCATTGGAGAGTTCAGTTTGTAACCTAGGGCTTGCTTGTCCTCAGTGCACAGAAATTAGATCAATCTTTTACCACACGTATTTTTTAGAAATGATTTGGCAAATATTTGAACCCCTTGTCTTAAACTATTTTATTCATCATGTTAAAATAAAATGTTCCCTACTCAATTTTCCCCCCTTTTTTCAATTTTTCCAGTTTTTCGGAAAAAAACAAAAAAGGCTTCAGGAAACCCCCCCCCCCCCCATTTTTCCAGGCCTTCACATCTCTAGCCTCCCACAGATTTAACTTCTTCGTGGGTGGGGGGCACAGAAAGAGGGAGCTGGCGGGAAGAGCAATGTCAGCGCATAGCTTTGCGAAGGCAGAGACGGCCCTGCAGACCACAATGACGCTGGGCTTTTCAGACCTTTCACAGTAGCACCATCTTTGGCTCCCACCCCCCTGAGAATAACATGAGACCTGTTGCCGGGTTTGCATTCTCGGCATTGGGGAGCGTAAGAAGGGCTGCTGCCATCTATACAGTAGAACAGCGGCCCAAGCCAAGAGAACCGGCACAGCGTCTGCCCTCTTCTGCTGGGAGGGCTGCACTGGCAGCTGATAACGAAGGCTCACTATGAACAGAACGTCGACAGGGCTGCGGGAGGAGGACTCGGCATCTGTCTTGCATGTACACACACGCGCCTTTCCCTCTTCTCCCTTTGTGCCTCGCCAATGGCCTCCTGAAACCTGGACCGTGTTGCCATAGGAGACCAGCTCCCTAGAGAGAGGTACCATCTGGTGCAAGAGGACTCTTTCTGCATCTCCTTTCCCGGGGGGAGAGAGGGGAGCGGCTATTTCCCCCTGGCCTCGTCACAAACCCCAAAACAGCGCACGCACACAGAGCAGATTTAATTTAGAGGGCTGGGAAGGTGGACTGATCATCAGGCCGCCTCCTGCTGCCATGGGCAGTTGAAGGGGTTTCCCACTGTGAGGCCGTGGTGGCCAAAGAGCTACCTATGAAGTATAATGATCCCCCCCTCCCAAAAAAATGCAAATGCGTGAGAGGGTGAGCGTGCACTGTGGGAAGAAGAGCAGGGAGACTGTGGGACCTCCGAAAGAACCACAAGCAGGATTGTGGTTGCCAGAAGATGGACGTGCAGCTTGGAACGAGAAACAGTGACGGTGTTGGAAGGGACCTCATAAGCTACGTGGTCATAGATCATAGAACCATAGAGTTGGAAGGGACCTCCAGGGCCATCTAATCCAACCCCCTGCACAATGCAGGAACTTCACAAAGACCTCCCCCTCCACACCTGCAGTGACCGCTATTCTATGCCCAGGAGATGGCAAAAACCCTCCAGGATCCCCGGCCAAACTGGCCTGGAGAAAAATGGCTCCCTAACCCCAAAGCGGCAGTCAGCATTTCCCTGGGCGTGTAAGAAAGGGCCACAAGAACTAAGCACTGAGGCAACCCCTTCCTGCCCCCACCCCCACCCCATGATCTGCCCAAGCTCACAGAATCAGCAATGCTGTTAGATGGCCACCTGGCCTCTGTTTGACAACCTCCAAAGATGGAGAGCCCGCCACCTCCCGAGGAAGCCTGTTCCACTGAGGAACCACTCCAACTGTCAGGAACACCCGGGGCTCAATCCAGCTGACGGTGGGGTGGAAAGAGAGGCAAGAGGATTCTCTGGCTGTTATGCCTCCCGGCTCACTTTGACACTCTACCTGCAGTTCCAAGCAATGCTTTTGCTTCTCAGAAATCTGGTTCTTCAGTGCCTGCTTCTCTTTCAGCAGATTCTCCAGTGACAGGGTCGACCAATCCAGCTTCAGTTCTTCACACCTGGCCTTCAGCTGGAAGGAGGTGGAGAGAGATGAGGTTAGCCAAGAAGACCTACAGTTTGGCCATCCGGAAACCAGGAGCATCTGGTTGGTTACAGAGAGCGTTACGCTCTGAGAGTCAACGTCTCCTGGCGATCCCTGGCCCAAAGGACGTCTGCCTAGCCTCGACCGGGGCCAGGGCTTTTTCTGCCTGGTGGAACATGCTCCCTATTGAGATCAGGGCCCTGCGGGATCTTATGCAATTCCACAGGGCCTGCGAGACGGAGCTCTTCCGCCGGGCTTTCGGCTGAGGCAGTGGGTGTCCACATATGCCTCCTCCCCCCCCTTGAGGTTGCGGTCTCCCATCTCCTACCTAGGCCATACCTAGTTGCATCAATGGGGCGGATTCTCCCTACGGCAAGCATGACTACCGATTTTATATGTTTTAATGTGTTTTAAAATTTTATGGTATTTATTAAAATGCTGTAACCCGCCCTGAGCCCGTTTACGGGATGGGCGGGATATAATAAATAAATAAATAAAATATGTCCTCGTGCCAACCCGGTGACTCAAAACCCATCCCCCTCCTCGCCCACCCAGATCTTTCGGGAATGAAACAGGGTTAAGCCCTTGGTTGGAGAATCGTTTCTAAGTGATCCCAGCCCCAAAAGGATGGCGTCACAAGCCAGCCTCGGCCCTGTCGGGCGAGCCAAACCCTTTCGCTAGCTGATGTGCTGGTCGGACACACACGGTTTGGAAATACCCACCAGCTGCAGACTCTGGTTCCTGAGTTCGCCGTTATCTTTCTCCAGCTGCTTGGTCTGCTCCTTAAGCTGTTGGTTGTGAGCAGAGATCTCTTTCTGAGCTTGAATAAGGTCGTTGTAGGTCAAGGCCTTAACTCCCAGCTGCGGAGAACAGAACATGGGGAGATGCTGTTACCAATCCCACAACGAAACAGGGGCAATCCACTGGGTGTGATAAAGCGCACTTTCACACACACTAAATAAAACACTTCCGGTGCACTTTGCAACTGGATTTTACCGTGAGAAATGGCAAAGTCCACTTGCAAAACGGTCGCTGGAGTGGACTGACGCTGCATTCTTTAGCATATGCGAAAGAGCCCAAATACTTTGCCCCCTTCTCCTTGTGCCTAGCCTCCTTCAAGCTTCCAGAAGCGCCTTCCTCTGAACTCACCACGATGCCCAAATACGGGTGCCTGGGCTAGTTAGGAGCTACCCTGCAAACTGGGATTCCAAACCGAGGTTGA